GGAATCGAGGGGCGGCCTCCCCAGTGCCCAGCCCAGGGCTCAGATCCCTTCCCTGTCCCTGCTGGCCACGCCAGTGCTGACACCAGCCAGGATGCCGTTGCCCTCCTTGGCCCCCTGGGCACACTCTGGCTCATTCTCACCCCCCAGTCCCTCTCTGACCGGCAGCTCTCCAGCCACTCCTCCCCAGGCCTGTAGCCCCCCTGGGGGTTGTTGTGGCCAAAAGTCCCATCGAGCTGCAGGACTCTGTGGTCTGTGTCCCCCCAGTCCCTGGTGTCACACCACAACCGACGGGCAGTTTTCCTGGGAGGTGCCTCCTCTCTGCCCTGTAGACCTGGTTCTGGTCCATGAAGGGGGTGGGAGGGCAGAAGTGCCCTCCTGGGCCTGGCTGTGCCTGCGGGGTGGAGATGGAAACTGTCCCTGTCCCGGGGGCCTCTCCCCTGCCTTGACACCCTCACCCGAGGTGGCATTTCTACTGCGTCCCTGCGGACTAAGTTGTTCTGAATTTTACAGACGCCTCTGGCAAGCCCAACGTCTCCAGTGCGCCCCAAGCTTCTTTATGCTGTGGTGTGCATTTCCGTTCAGGTTTTGCCCGCGAATGTTTCCCTTCCCAGGTGTCCCCAGGCCTAGCAAAACACGGGAAAAAAAAACCCAAAACCCAACCCCTTTCTGACGTGCTAATATTAAAAGGGAGAAATGGAATTATGGAGGAAACTTGAAACTGCTTAGTTTGACATTAGCTCCAAATAAAATAATGGAAAAGTGAATATGAGACTTGATCAATAAAGTGTAAAAAGGACAAGAATGTAATTAATGGCAATCGGTACTTATTTTTGGTGTTTAGCTTCCGCAGAATCATGTCATTTCATTTGCTGATGACTTCCACATTGGGGTGATAAAGTTACCGGGAGGCTGAATAGAGCCTGTATTTTTTTATTTTCACAATATTGTGAGGTATAGCTCATTATAACAAGCAAACAGATAAATAAATAACAAGGAAATCGGATGTTAATGGAGTCTGGCTCACTGCAAAGTCTCCTTTCAGTGATAGCTCCCCACTGAGGGGTCGTTCCCCACATTCCCGAGGAGTTTCAGTGGGAATTGCTCCGGCGCTGGGTCTGATGCTGTATATGATTGTTACCGCTTGCGTGGAAGCAAGTATAAAATCGTGACTAATAAGGTTTTTAGATGATGTCAAGACAGCTAATTGAATAGAGGTGGATGCAAAGTCATCCTCGGCAGGAGGAGGGTCGGGGCTGCGCCAGGGCCGGGGGCTGCACTCCCAGCCGAGGTGGCTCCTTCCCCCAGCACACACCAGCGGTGCCTGTCCCTGTGAAACACCTTTCCCACCCCTGTAGTAACAACGGGGATAAGAGGAGGGGGAGAAAAATCAGGAGAAACCAGCGCTTTGAGCCAACTTTGCTCAGCCACAGTCCCGGCGGAGGGTTGGCTCGCAGTCCCCTTCCCGTGACGGTGAAAACAAATGACCCCACAGACGCTTCATGGGGCTGTGAAGGGGTGAAGCTGTGACCAGAGGAGCCCTTGTGGTGTCAAAGGCCGTGAAAATCCTCCTTGGGTCCCAGGAAACGCTGGGGGTCAGGACACGCTCCTCTGAGTGTCTCTGAGCAGAGAGGAGGCCGCTTGGTGACTTCAGGCGAGGGGTGGGGTGCTCACCTGAGAAGAAGCAGCACAGTCTTCCCCCAATGATGGGTCACAAAAAGGGTGAATTTCCTTTACCCGTTTTAGCATTTCTGCCATCAGATACGCTGCTCCTTGTCTGATGAATCAAGAAGAGCAAACCCCCCGTGTCTCATGGACATCCTCGGATCGCGAGCACCATCTGGAGAGTTTCCTCCACAGAAGGGCAGTAGAGGAGGCTGGAACACCTGCCGAGGACCACAGCTCTCCCCGAACAACGTGAAGAATCAGGTGAAATGAGGGGGAAGTGCTCATTTTCTGTTTCTTTAATCAAGGCTTGCAGCTTGAGATGGACTGGGGATGGAAGGGAGCAAAGTGGGGTGTCCCCTGAGGGCGGGTCCCCCCATGCTCTGCGGCGAGAGCAGATCCCCCAGCACCTGCCCGAGCTCTGCGGGCAGAAAACCCCCGTTTGTGGCCGGGGCAGGAAACGGGTGAGCTCCTGTGCTGAGCAAGCAAGTTCCTGGGCTTTTAGGACGTTGTAGTATCTGTGGAGGGGCTGCACTCAGAACGACACCCGCTGTGCCCAAAGCCTGTGCCGCTGCCTCGGTGCCAGAAAGCTGCTGCCGGGTGAGAGCCTGTCCTGGTGCCCGGCCAGACCTGAGCACCCCGTGGGGCCGGGGGGGTGGGCGCTGGGCTGTGTGGGGGCCAGGGCTGCAGGAGGAGGGCAACGGCCTCCCGCGGCCTGGGCTCAGAGGAGGGTGCCCCGGTGCCACCCCGACTGCGTTCGCTTGCGGGGAGTTGCCCAGGGCCGCCCGATGTACAGCCCCAGCGCACACACTGGAACGGCAGCCCAGGAGCGGAGACCCTGGAGGTGTGAGGCTCAGCTGGATACAGCCCTCAGCTGAGCCTGCGTGGTGCAGGAGCTTGGAGCAGAGGCCTCCCAGGGTCCTGGGGTGCTCCCCGTGACTCCGGGATGGTGTTAGGGATTGGGTCTGGCAGTGTGAAATGCTGGGGTTCCAGCCCCACACGAAGGTTGCCATAGGGGTGATTCCCACAGCCCTTCACAGAGGGTGGTGAGGTTCCCTTTAAGCTTCCCTCTGGCCTGGCAGGCAGAGCCGTTGGGTAAAGGAGCCCCAGGGGTCCCGCAGTCAGTAACCCAAGGTCAGGGGTCCCACGCAGGGATAAGAGCGGGGACCCCTCGCAGGAGGGGCAGTGTCTGTGTGTGAGGGGGATGCCCTGTGCAGAGTTCCCTGCTGGGGAAGGACCTCCCGCCTCCCTGGGACTGGGCTCCAGGCAGCTCTGGCTTTTGTCAACGCAGGCTCTGTAGAGATTCAGTGTGTGGCTTCCTCGGTCTTATGCATTTGGCTTGTTGACCTGGTTGTCTCCCGTCCCTTCTACAGGAGGCTGCATGTCACCGTTTATTGCAGCTGTTGCTGGTCATGCGGTGTCGTTGTTGGGACCATTGGGATTGATGTCAATTATGTATAACCTGACTGACTTGTCCCCGCAGCGATCCCCCGTGTACCGACCCTTTTGTGTCAAGTACAGTCTGGTTATTGGTTCCCCTTGATGCGGGCTGTGTCCTTTCTGCTAGGCCTGATAACTGGCAAAACAGGGGGGCACCCACTGGTCCCTGAGAAAGACCCATCTCCCCTCCGAGCAGGGGCAGGGAGAGGCAGTGACAGAGGCGTTTGGCTTTTGCCCGTGCCTGAACTCCGGGCTTCTGCAGGGCGCGGCCCCACAAACCAAAGGGGTTTGCAAACATCAAGGTTTTGGTGGTTTGCGAACAAGAAGTTTTGCTGTTGGCATCTGTCTGGCGCTTCCCGTGCGTGTGCCCACAGGTGGTTACGCTGCGCTTAATCAATGCGGCTCAGTGGAAGGAGACATTTAATGTCATAACCTGCGGGCTTGTCCAGGCAGGAGAACGGCCTCGCCGGTGAGCGGTCACGGCGTGTTGGGGCTGCTCTGCCCTCACGGAAGGCAGAAATGGGTGGCAGCACACACCCCCCCCGCCCCGAGCAGCGGGTCAGGGCAGAGCGGCTGGATCCAGGGGTCTGCGCTGGCAGCTCGTCTCTGTTAGACTGGGGCGCGGGCTCTGGGGGCTGGGCTGCACCCCGGGGACTGCCCTGTCTGTGCAACACACGCCTGACCGGAGGTGTTTTAGGGTAAAAACCTCCAGAAAACGCCCACTGCTGTGCTCAGCCGAGGATAAGCCGGGGCTTCTGGCCTGGCTGACCTGCTGGGGCTGCAGTCGATCCACAGCCTGGTTTAGCCTGGACAGGAACTTCCAGGGCAGAGCGGGCTGGGGTCAGCCGCCCAGGGAGGGCTTGGGCTGGTGCCGAGAGCGGCGCTGCCATCCCATCGCCGCTTTGGGGCCAGCGGTTTAAAGGAGCAAAAATGTCTGGAGAGCAGGGAGACAGAACAGGCGTATTATTCAAGCGCCAGAGAACGTACTTGATCTATAAAGGGTGCAAAACATATTAATTTTTAAAGAGCTGTAGAGGCATCTTCATTGCAGGGTGGAAGTCTCGGGAGAAAACATCTGATGCTCAGGATCATTGTAATGCCCTTGAGCAGGATGAATCTGCATGGATGGAAAATGAAGCCAGACGTATTCTGATTAGGAATAAAAGCTTTATTTTGAATAATGAGAATAATTAACCGCTGTGAGAAGATCATGAGAGCAACAGCAGATTTTCCAGCAGTGGATTTTCCATCTCTGTAGCCCCTGTGGGGAGTGGGAGGTGTTTGGTACAAAGCTGTTTTCTGCAGTGGTGGAGGACCGAGGGGCGGTCGCGTGCCTGCAGTGGGGCAATCTGGGGCATTTCGGGGGTGCCCCTGCCCGTTCCCTTTGGAAGGGCTCTTCTGAGCAAGCACAGGCGCTGGTGGCGCTTTGAGGACAGAGATACCACCTTCTCTGGTGCTCGGCGATGAGCCTTGTTGGCAGCCGCGTGCCCGTCCTGCCTCTCCCCTGTCGCCCGGCCCTTCCCGCAGCTCGTAGCGATGCCGCTGGAGGAGCCCGGGCCCTGCTCCCTCCTCCCAGGACCCTGACCTCCACCATCCCGCGGTCACCGTGGCCAAGGCCGCTCCCACACTCGCACCCCTGACCGCTTCATCCCCGTTTCCAGTGATCAGGCCCAGCAGAGCCCCTTTACTTGCTGGGTCCTTCACCGCCTGTGCCAGGAGTCTGTTGCCAGTGCATCTACAGATCCCCTCGGGTGCCTGAGCCCTGCTGCACCCTCCTTCCAGCAGGTACCGGTGTCGACTTCGGGCAGCGAGCAGCCCCGAAGATACGCTGGGAAGGAAGGGTCGGAGTCTGAAAGGGCTCAAACAAATGAATTTCTGACAGTCGTTGATTAAGACTAAACTGTGATGTGTAAAGCTTTGCGTGTGTGTTTTGTTTCCCAAGGACTCCTTACCTAGGCTTCTTTGTTTAGATCTCCTGATGAAAATCACCGAGAGCAGACTCGAGGCCTTCAGTGGGCGCTCGGGCAACCCCTAGAATGGGAAATCTCAGATAAGGGGGAGCTCGAACACGGAGGCACAGAGACTCTGTTGTAGGGAGGGTGATTCTGCTGGTTTAGGAAGGAGACACCTGGACTTGACCGCACAGCGCACGCTCTGGACGGAGGGTCAGCCAGTGAACGCTGTGAAGAAAACCGCTTGCTTCTGCCCTGCCTGGGCACAGGGCACACGATCAAGGGGCTCTGCTGTTGCCTGTGGGATCTCACGGCTGGGTTGGCTCCAGGGTGTCAGTTTTTCCCAGATCCCGCTGGTGTCCACAGTGGAGCGGGGCGGCTGTTCCTGGTCCTTGTGTCTGCGTGTCACAGCCTGGGCTGGGAGCAGAGTCACAATGGTGTAAAGTAAGGTGAAAGGACTCCGAACAAAGGGTGAAAATGTTTCTACTTATGGTAGAAAACAATTTAAACTTGGAAAAGGATAACAAGCGGTGTGATTTCTGATTAAGAAAAAAGGAAAGAAGAAGAAAGGAAAGACAATCAAATGAATCCGGACCACGGGCCCTGGATCCAGGGTTGTCTCAGGTCCGGTAGTCTGGGGTGGTGGGTGCACACCCAGCAAAGCTTCTGCTGCCTTTCCAACTCATCAGCTGATTAGCACACTGGGTGAGGGGGGGCAGGGATTCCACCAACTCATTTCTGTGTGCATTGAGGGGGAGATGGGGTGCACCACCCCGTGTCCAGTCGGGTCGGTGGCCGTACTCGTGCTGCCCACCTCTGGTTTTTCCTCTGTTCCCACAGATTTTTGCCGCCTTTGTGCATCCTGAGCAGCTGTGCCGCTCTGGGGGCAGCAGTGCTGACCTCTCGCCAGCCCTTGTCACGTCCTCAGCGGCGAGGGGGTGAAGTCTCTCGCGAGGCCTGCGTCTGGCTTGCACACCCGAGCCGCAAGTAAGGGGAAACTTTTGGTTTCACTCAGCCCAGTTTCCCCACTCCGAGCTTATCTGAGGAGTTTGTCAATACAGCCCGGAGGGAGTGGGGGGGATCCTCTGATGCACCTTTGACATTCCTCAGACGCATCACGATGGCCGCAGCTGGTCCGTGAGGTTTTCTGTGTGGATGGATGTTTGAGGCATCAATCCCTTCAGCCCCTTGCGCTGCGCTCTGAGACTCAGCCAGCAGAGAAAACGGCGACCATCCCATCATCCCACCATCGCCGTCCGTAGCGCCGCCTTTCCGTCACTTCCCAGTGGAGTGGAGCCGGTGGGGGTGGGAGGGGGGTTGTGGCAGGGTTAGCAGGTAGGAAAGAGATGGTCTGTAATTTAGAATTTGTAATAATTTAGAAAAATTAATATCGACTTCAAATAACCTGAAAGCTATGAAAAAATGCGAAACAAATGAAGCTGTTCTGGTATGCACCTGGATTTTTATATGGGCTCCATGAAAGTTATTCTTTGAATGTTGCAGATGAAGAAATGAAGCCCCAACCTGGCGACTGTGAACGCTTTTTTTTTTTTTTCCAAGCATCATGCAAACAAGAAATAAAACATGGGATGCGAAGACAAATTCATCTTCTTTTGGCTTTGTTTTTGAAAAAAAAAACCCATCAGCTCTCTCAGCTGGCTGAAGGAGAGATTAGCTCTGCTGCCGGCACTGGCGTGTGTTTGCTTTGTGCACGTGGAATTATGTGTGGATGCTGTCCCAGCAGCATCCTCAAGGATGGTGCGAAGTGCACCGGAACGGCGCAGCCTGCGAAACCCCTCCTGGGAACATCTGCGCCGGGGCAGCCCCGGGGATAGAGCCACCATAAGCTCTGGGTGCGCTCAGTGGTGATGGTGTTTCCCAGCTGAAAACCGCCGGTGCCTGGGAGCTCTGCAGGGGTCTGGCAGTGCCCGCCTGCAAGCTGCAGCCGTGTCTGGGATGGAAATGGTCCTGGGGTTCCCCCGAGCCTGGTTGTGGCCCTCCCCGTGCCCCAGGGACTGGGCTGGCTGGGGACTGTGGGGCCGAGAAGCCCGAGCTCAGCTCCGGGGGACGTGTCATAGTGCAGGGACCGTTTCACAGCAGCCAGCCATGGGGCAGGAGGCCACAGCGGGACGGGGGTGGCAGCGGGACTCCTCGGGTGCTGAGCGAGCGGAGCAGCGGTGCAACATCTCTCCGGTAGGTGCATTTGGCCTGTGTTGCGGGGAGAGGGTGTCCTTGTCCTTATTGTCACTGGTCCCTCCCGCCAGCTGTCACTATAGCGGGGCAACAGCCACCCCCCTGTTCCTTCCCACCTTCTGCCAGCACTGCTGGTTTTCAACAGGGCGAAGCACAGTCCTGGGCTCAGAGCCACCATGTCCAAAACTGTCAATCTATTGTCACTAGGGATTCCTCAAGTAACATCAGAGTGACTGTGGAGACCCTCGAGCAGGAGGAGAAGGTTGTGGATGATGAGAGAAGCACCATCCAGGAGTTTAAGGTAGAAGCTGGCAAGTGTTTCAAAACATCCCCTGATCTACTGGTCCTGGCATTTGCTGGGGAAATCCGCAAGGGTCAAGACACTTTGAGCCAGCATGGAGTTCACAGTGGGGTCAAAATCCACCTGGTCATCAGTCCCAGAAGAGCCCGCAGGACGGCCTGGCAGACCAAGAATGGGCGGCCACCGTGATGCAGCCTCCCAGCCACAGTAATTCCAACGTGCTGTCCTTGGGAAGCAGAGCTGCTCCACAAAACCCACGCCTGATCCGTGACAACTGGTCAGAGCTGTGGACCTCCAGCCAGGAAATAGCGGCCCGGGCCGTGGAGGACCTCTTGTCTATGATCCTCTGGTCAGGCCTGGGTGTGAACACCATCAACACATTTTTGCTGGGGTTCATCCTTGGGATGACAGGTGTACATCTCCTAGGCCTGGACTCAACGGACGCGTCAGACTCGGAGAGGAGCGTTCCCAAACAACGTGTGCCCATGCACAGCTTGGGCCCCTCCGTGGAGAACGTCCTTCACAAGGCTGATCTTGTCAGGGACCTCCTCATGTCCGACCCCCGGATGCAGCAGCTGGCTGAAGAAAATCCCGAGCTCGCTCAGACTTTTGCCGACCCACGTACTTTCAGGGAAGTGTTAGAGGCGTTCAGCAGCCCTGCCCTAACGCAAGAGGTGATGAGGATCCACGACGGGGCCATGAGAAACCTCAAAAGCATCCCTGGTGGGTCTGGGGTCCTGGAGCGGCTCCACAGGGAAGCCGAGGAGCCTGTCTTGGGCACTGCAGGCACAGCTGGACAACAACCCCTGCGCCTCCTTGAACCGTGACCCCCCGAGCGGAGCCGGGCTGCCAGCCCACACCGAGATCCAGAGGCCGCGGCCCCGCAGAGCCAGTGACCGGGCAGGGGCCCACCACGGGTGGTCCACTGGCAGCAGCGCAGGCGGCTGGTTTGTCCGCCCCAATTCGGGTGGTGCGGAGGGAGCAGGGGGACCCAGTGTGGTTCGGCAGCCGGCGGCAGATCCAGAGCTCATGCACGACCCGGTGCTAACGAGCCCCCGCAGCCCGGCCCGGGGCACAGCGGGCGCCTCCGGCCGTGGAAAACACCCCGTCCTCTCTGAGGAGCCCTGCGGCGCAGCAGGAGCTGCTGCAGGTCCGGTGGGGATCGCCGACCCTCCCAACACAAACACCAGACTTCGTGGTTTATTTGAGGGACTCGCCTGGTCGGGAAGGCATGGACAGCTCGGCACACAGCCGTGGAGATGATGAAGTTTTCATGTCAGACGAGGACGGATCCGAAGGTCCTGTGGGGATGGATGAGGAGGCGCCACAGATCAGGTTGAGGAGACAGACGGAGCAGCTCAGTGCCATGGGCTCCCGGGACCACAGCGCAAACCTGCGGGCGCTGGTCGATGCAGGAGAGATCAACGCAGCGGTGAAGACTGACCAGAGATTGACCCATCATCCGACAAGAGGCCGTAACCGCCTCGTCCGAGCCAGCGTCCTTTGGTGGTTGCATTCCAGCCTCATCACGCACTAACAGCAGCAGGTGCATAGTAAGAAGTCGTGTGCCGTACTTCCATTGGTGGGAATTACTTTCCTCCGAGCTGCAGGATTTCTTGCCTTCGGAAGCAGCCGACACAAGGACGTTTCTGGGGGCAGGCCCTGCCTGGATGTGGTACCACCCCTTTACAGATAGATCCAGGTCTGTGCGCAGGGAAAAACACACCAGGAAAAGAGAGCAGAGAGGGGAAACGTGCCTTTCCGTGGGTTAGGAACTGAGATCCGGATGATAAATGAGCTTGGCTCCCATCTGGGCTCTGAAACAAACAGTGGCACTGACATCTGGCCCTGAAGAAGAGAGGCAGGGGGTATCCTCTCCCTCTCCCGATTTGAAAGCCGGTCTGTCACTTGGGTCACTCTTCTCCTATGGGAGTAAAGTCCATGAGGCTCTTGGTGCCCGCCAGCGCCGTCCAGTTCTCCACCAGTCCCGTCCCACTGCTCCCTTCCTGCTCCTCCCGCCCAAGCTCTGAGTCTCCTTCCTGCTCTGGGTTCCCCACTCACTTCTTCCACAGGCGTTTCCCAACATCCTTCTCTTACAATATGCCCAGTGAGAGGTTTTCTATTGGTTCCTTTCACCTCCTCCTCACCTGCCCCATTTATGGTTCTGCAAGGGTTCTTTTCATGCCAAATTCAGACTTTTTCTGTCCTCTCCCTCCTTGCTCTTTTGTGTCTTGTTCCTTCTTTCTCCCCACAGCCTCTTTTTCACCTTTCTGGAGGTGACTGGAGGGTTGGTCCTGGGGACGTGGGCTGGGCGCTCAGCAGACCGTGGCTGGAAAAGGTCCCTCTCTCCTGGCAGCCCCCCGTGCTGGCAGCCAGGCTTTGCCTGACCCGCTCTGCTGAAGCACCGCTGGCAGGAATCGGCGCTGACCTTGGCCGCGTCGCCCGCTGAGCGATGGGCAAACGTTGAGGCCTGTCCTCTCTCGAGGCTGGTCTCAGCCACAGGGATGGAGCTTTTCCGGGGGATGGTGGGGGTCTCCACGCAGCAGTGTGTCAGCTGCCCCAAGTCAAGACTTTGCAAACTTCCCCGGTGCTTAAAGCCGCCCCTGAGGCCTCAGGATCCCGCTGCTGTGCAGCGCCTCTGCCCCGGGCTGGGCTCCAAGACTGGCGACAGCGTCCGCCCCAAACTCCCACGAGGCTGAAGGTGTGTGCGGAGCCCGTGCGGGCTGGGTCGGGCTGTTTGTCCGGGGGGATGTGCGGACAGGACGGGTGTGGGTGGCAGACACCAAAGTGTGGGATCTAGACCCGAGTCGTGCCTCCGGCCTCCTGCTGCAGCTCCGGGAGGTCTTGGTGTGGCTCCATCCTCACGTGGAGGAGCCCAGCACCACCTGGGGCATCGGGAACGCCCAGGTGGGGCTGGTGGATGTGACACGGGACCTACAAGACACCCGTGTCCCTCTAGCCCGGTGGCTGGGGATGAGGAGGAGTGGGATAGGGCAGCTCAAAGTCCGTTCAGGATTGATGGAGCATTTAGACACAGAAGATTGGTGGAAGGAAGTATTTCTTTAAACTGCTTGTGCTGCAAATTTAAGCAGTTTTAAGGTTTCAGTTATGAAAAAGTGTTGAAGTAACTTGCCACTTTAAACACATTTTTACCTTTTTTCCTTATAAATATTTTGGTAAACCTGGCAGGAACTGATGACACATGAAGAAATCACTCAATGTAGATTTTTTTTTTTTCGCCTTTTTTGCCAAGAAAGCTTTGACGACATGATCCTTGAGGTCCCTTCCAACCTGGTATTTTAAGATTCTGTGCTGTTTTTTTCCCCACAAATATTAACTGCTGACTTTGTTCAGCTCCTGTGCAGGATCTCTGGTGTGGTTTGGTGGTTGCTGGAGGGCCCCTCGCGCCGGTGTCGTGGGGAGCGTAAGGGCCGCTTGTGCTCGAGGACAGCCCGAGCTCTGCCGCTGCTCACCTCCTGCTCTCTCCTCCTTGGCGGTGGAGGCAGCGGGGCTGATGAGCTTCAGCTATCTTGGTGCTCCCCCCCGGGAGCTGGGCTTTTTTAAGGGTGCTGCCCTCAGACATGGGCGCTGGGGGCTTGGCAGGCAGAAGAGCAGGAGTCCGGCTGCTCGCCACCCCCCCCGAATCGGCTCTGGCCCAGCCTGGGCACTGCCAGCTCCTGCTCCGGGGGTCCCCCGCGGGCCTGCCCCCGCTGGAAGCTCCCCGGGAGATGCTGCCGTGCCCCCTCCTGCAGCTGCCTGAGCTCAGTGCCCAGCCCCGTTCCCTGGCATGGTGGATGATTCCAGTCCCACAGCTCCCGCCTGGCCAAGGCCATGAATATCATCTGCCCCGTGTCCCCCTCGGCAGCACTAACGGTGCTTTTCTGGGTGCCCCGAGCAGCACCCACCCCCTGCAGCTCCCTGGGCAGCCTGTGCTGGCCCTGAGCTCTGGCACATCCCCTCGGATTTTGTGTGGCCGTCCTACAGGGGCCGTGGCACAGCGGGACTCGTGCCTTGGGGGTTTGCCGTGTGGTGGATGCTCTGCTCCACCATCGCTCTTGGGGAATTTTTTTATGGTCAAAATCTTCCCGTGTTTCTGCAGGTGTGGGCGTGCTGCCGAGCCTGTGACATCCACAGCTGCCTCTGCTTGGAGGCTAATGTGTGCTGAAATGATTCAGCCTGCAGAAAATAGTTCCTCCAAGCGAATTTATTTCTAGCCCTGTGTCTGGTGAGATGCCTGAGGGGCTGGAGGGAGGGAGGGGTGGTCACCGGTTGACCTGGGAACTGGGGGAAACGTCCGGTCGTTCATCCAGGGAGGGCTCCTGAGCCCCCAACTCTCCCTCCTGTCCCCTCGGGGCGCCCAGCCTGGGAATTGTTGCTGTGGGGGAAAGCTCTTCCAAATTCCTTTTCTCGCATTAATCGCCAGGAGTGTTATGTATCATGCTCAGTAATCTATTCAAAACAGGGACTGCTATTTATACGTGTGTGCTAGGATATTTGCAAAAGTAATTGCGTCGCGTTTGTACGCCTGGATGCTCAGACGGCTTTTTTTAGGACTCCTCGCACCATTTTTTCCAAAGCTTGCCTGCCTCTTGCCACAGCCTGCAGCTACATCCCATCAGTCCAACCAGGGCCCCGAGGACGGGAGGTGCAAAGCCACGGGGGTGTAATCGTGTGCTTGGAGGGAAGGGGGGGGCACAGAGCGCCTCTGCAGGGACCAGCGGGACTGTAACGCGTGGGGGCAAGAGGGGGCTGGATGACATCCCAGGGCACGGCTCCTCGCCTGGAGGGCACCTAGGGAGCTGCTGAGCGGGGCACAGTGCTCCCCCCATCCTCTGGGATCCCGCAGAGGGGCGCAGGGCCCCCCCCGCCG